ATCGTGGAGTTGAAGGCTCATTTTTTATTTCTTGTTGTAATTATTTTGTACAAACCTTGGGTTTTAACTGTATTAAGTAGAACTCACTTTTGTTGTAACCAAGGATTGTCTTAGAAAGATATAGCCATTAGGGCATTAACTTATTTGTATGACCTTTTGCTTTTATTTACTCATATGTGGTATATGTTATAGATTCAGGATGTAGGATTTATAAATGTATACTTGCATATATCACTTTTTGTACGGTAAAATATGAATGAAAGGTTATTATTTCGCATATAATGTTATTATTGAATATCATGAGATGGATTGTTGTTATTATTATTTTGGGGCGTTCAGAAAGGATATATACTAAAATGAGATACTAACAAAATCTTCGGAGGGCTCACTCGGCATACCGCCTCACCGAAACTTGTTTCTTGTTTATAGGTATACGATGTGAAATAGATCATTCTCCTAGTGACAACGAGACGGAAATTCTGACTGACCATGTTTATATTTGAGAAAATTGTTGAAAAGTCCAATCTAAGCTGGGTATAAGGCATTAGATCTATTGAATATTTTTTGTTTTGAGAGATCTACCATTTGTGAAATAGTTTGGTGAGAAGTCCTTTTTGTTATTTTGGAGGACATTTTATTTCCTATTTTACCCCTTATCTATCTGTTGAATTTTTTGACTATCTGTTTAATTTTTTTGAATATTTGTTTAAATTTTTATCTATTTGTTTAAATTTGTATCTATCTATTCAATTTTTTCCTTATCTGTTGAAATGTATATCCAAATTTTATTATCTGTTCAATTTTTTCCCTTATCTATTTAAATATTTGTCCACATTTTATTATCTGTTCAATTTTTTTTCTTTATCTATTTAAATATATATCTATATATATATATAAAACCTTATATATGCTTAAATCTATCTGTAGAAAAATACCAAGATCCTAAAATCCTTTATTTGTGGAGACCATGACCTCTAATCTCATTCAAATTTGATTTAGATCTATCCAGATCTACCCATATCTCTCATCTATTCAAAGACCTCCTCAAATACCACATTTTCTCTTTTCTTCATTTCCTCCTCCTCCGACAGTGGCGCTACATTTTTCGCCGCCATCACCTTCAACGACATCATCGTTTAGATCGCTAACACCTCATATCTAGGCAATGACGGTTCCAATTCCTCACTAATAGGAACATCCGCCTTGTCAACGATTTATCTTCCTCATTCGTCGTCGTTGTCTGGAAATCCAACACTGCCAGTTATCGTATCTCATCCACTGTCCTTGACAACTTAGGTAAGTTCATCCTCCAAAACACCACTGTTTTAGCTTGGTCTACCTTCGATAACCTCACTAATATAGTTGACTGAGTTGTCGTAGTAGAAGATGGCATCAGACTCTAATGATGTAGGAGTCTTCATGGAAATGATGTTGTTTTCGAGCTCCATCGTCGCCGATCGAAGCACCGTGTTCGCTACAGGCCGCTGATGGTGAAGTTATTGGCCTTGGATCTGAACTAGGAGAGAGGTTGGTCAAGCAGGTCTTTGGCGACAATAGCGACAGACGATGATGAAGACTAATGATCTTAGACTCTAGGAGAGTAAGATTTGAGTGACTAGGTGGAGAAGATGATAATGAAATCCGTCGGTGGATGAAGCCGATGGTGGAAGTGGCAACGACGACGGTGGTGGTAGAGAGAGAGAGAGAGAGAGAGAGAGAATGGATTTGATAAATATAATTTTGAACAAATAAAGAGAATGGTTCCAAACAAATAAGCCCGTAAATTTTTTAGGGTTGTTTGGTCATTTTGCAGAATGATGTTCTTCTGGACATACTATTTTAGCACTGAACCTTTGGATAAAGAAAATTCAAAATTAAATTTATTGCCCAAGCCCTGAGCGTAAGGAAAGATAGAAGAATTATTTTGAGAAACTATTAAATGAGGAACATGGAAGTACGACAATAGGGGAAGAAATAATCAGTAATACGATAAACCAAGACTATAGGTTCTATCGCAGGATTAGGAACTTTGAAGTAGAGATTGCACTTAAGAAGATGAAATCAAATAAGGCTTTAGGACCTAATGATATCCCTATTGAAGCTTGGAAGTGTTTGGGTAAAAAGGGAGTTGCTTGGTTGACTAGGTTGTTTAGCAAAACTTTGTTGACTAGGAACATGCCAGATGAGTGGAGGAAGAGTATTTTAGTGCCAATCTATAAGAATAAAGGTGATGTCCAGAATTGTAACAACTATAGAGGAATTAAGCTAATGTGTCATATAATGAAAGTGTACTCTTCTACTCATATACATGTGACACTTACAATATTTGAAAGTAATTTACTTTTTCTTACGTCATTGAAAAAAAAAAAAAAAAAAAATTTTTTTTTTTTAACTCCTTTTTTTTTTTTTTTTTTTTTTTTTTTTTTTGGCATTTATTGTCCTTTATGTAAATTTACATAAAATTTCAGCTAAAAGTAATGTTTGGTTGACAATTTTTTTTTTTTTTTTTTTTTTTTTTTTTGG